GCTCTCAGTTTTATTTTGAGATCAAATGCCAGTTATAGTCGAACCATAATTGAGACATAACAATATATGGGAGAACTCTGAATATGCAGCTCTTCTAAAAATTTTCTGAAATTGAAGAAACCGTTAACGCAATTACTATGAGGAGTAGGAGGATAACGCCAAGAACGCCATATTGTATAACGCCTGAGAAGCGTTAGAGCCCGAAAAGTTTTCTAACGACGCTACAATGCATTAAAATTTTATATACATTATGGACGGTTATAAAAATAACGCATTCGAACGTCTTTAGTTCACATGGGTAACTCCAGAGAACGCATTAAAAATCTCAAAGCCTTCGGAAGCCTTAAAATGTGTCAAAAGAAGGTTTTTAACGCCTTAAAGACGAAAAAAAAAAATTTAATGCATGCAAAAGACCTGCGAGGGTCCAAAATTTCTTCCTGGGTCTAGACTAAAGTCAAGGGAAAAAATTGACCAGGAGCAAGTTTTATAACAAACCTGAGTCATAAAAGACAGGATTTTTTTGATTTAAGCTTTTTTATAAAACTGACTCCAGGCCCGTAGCCAAGGGGAGCGGGTTGCCCGGGCAGACCCCATAAGTAAAAGTTGCTATTTAACTGCCATGAAAACAATCACATTTGATTTCTAAAAGAAATCACTGACGAGATAAGGTTCGAGCTTTCATCTCTTTTCAAAAGACATTATTAGGACTGACAGGTAAAAAGGTACAGAAAAAGCTACTTCGATTGCTTAAATGAGTTGTGGCAAGAGATATCTACATCTTTTTCGCGCGCTTCATTGACGCAAACCGGTGTGAAGATCCTTTTGCATCAGAAGTTAGTTTTCTGGACCGGTCGCTGTCGCGCAGATGACTATATTGGAATCAGAACCGGTACAACCAAAAAACAAGATACAAGAAAACCGGTATATCGATTTACATCTATAGTGCATCACCCTTGCGCCAGTGGACCGACTAACACAACATATAGCTTTCTTAGCCAGCAGATGGAGTCGATTACGAGATATGAGGTATCGCGCGATGAGCTAAGATTTTCAGTAATTATAATTTTAACGAGACTTATATTTGTCTTCTTTATTCTGTTAAAAAAAACCATTTTGAGACGCTTTCTTGAAAGACGACGCGCGTGGAGTCTCTTTGGACGCTGTTATGGCGACCAATCATAAAAAAATGCTACTCACAAAATTTATGAAAACAGGCCATTATCAGGCCGTCTCCATAGGAAAACCAATTTGCGTAAAAGTACTTTGAACCGCGACGTCATGATTTTATTATAATAAACTTCTGTTATAAAACGCTTATTACAAGGATAGCGGCTCTCCACATCCATTTTGAGAAAACAAACAATGGCTATTGACTAGCTAAGAAATCTCTTAAGGAAGCGATTTTATTTCACTCAGACCACTGACTACTTAGCAAAATCCTGGCTACGGGCCATCTATGACTCATTTTTGCGTTACAAGCAAAAGATTTCATAGATTTTCGTTTACTTATTTTTTTGTTCTAGTGTAATAAACTAGAAGCGATGATACGATATTCACAAACTCAAAATAATCTCGAAGTTCTGTGTGGCTTTGGAAAATATATCTACGGTTTGTGTTTGTTTTCTTTACATGTCGCCATTTTGTTTATCTACACAGAAAGCAAAAGAAAATCTATGAAATGTTTTGCTTGTAACGCAAAAATGAGTCATAGATAGAGAAAAACAATGAGAATGAGAATATAATGAATGAGAATCAATATCGTTCTTTTTAACTGCTAGAGCTGTAGTGTACGTTAGTGAATTCTTACGAACACGGTCTCATCTCTACCTTCCTTTCGTCATAACGACAGAAAATGTCTCAGCATCGAAAAGCACTTTTTCTGTCTGTTACTAATACTTATGTCATCAAAAAAAAAATGTTTATTCATGCGCACGTTACTCACCATAATTTTTCTTCATTGCGGAAGGTATTCATAAATACTTGATCAAAGCAAAAGAAGAAAGAACAAAAAATACTTTAGTTAAAGAATTTCAGTTAAGAATTTATTTTTGTTCTTTTTTGCTTACTTCTTTTTTAAATTTTTTTCAAAAATTTGTTCTTTTTTACTACTCCTGGTTCTAACCTTAGTTATCTTATTTATTTTGTTCTTTTTTATTACCCTTTTTTGTGTTGTTTGGCTTGAGTCATTTATTACATGTCAGTGACCTTCGATGACTCTCACTTTTCGTGAATAAACTCCTATTATTATTATTATTAAGAGACGAAGCAAAAATGGGTGAGAGTGGTGATGAACAGTTTTCTGTCGGCGAACAAAGTGATGACATACGTAAAGCATTCTGGAGAGGTGATTTTAAAGAATGTCCTATGTGTCAAAGTCCAAATATTGCTCAACATTTTTGGTCATGTGGATGCAGACGCAATGGAGATAGTAAGCAGCATCAAGTAGCGGAGATTTCTAGCACTAGGCCAATGGTTTACATCGGTCAGGAGAAACGTTTGCTTTTAGCCAGGGACTCGTTTTTTACCGTAAAAAGACGGCTTCAAACACGGTGAACCAATATTTGCGCGACATACACTGGCACATCGACTTTAGAGCGCCACCATTGGTCCGATTCCGACACTAGTGCGACAAACTTTAGAGAGACCGTTTTTAGGCAAAAAGTTTAATTTTGTTTGGGAAAAATAGTTGCGCTAAAATTGGATCGTGCTAAAGTCGAAGCGCTGACGTCGATTAATCTTCAATCACACGTTTTTATAGCACACATGACACAATTTTTGTAGCATCAATGCTAATTCATTCGTTCATTATTTCTGTTTCTAGGTTGGGGAACAATTGTATATCAATGTCTCGGGGAAGAAACTCTAGATAATGTCAAAGATTTGGAATGGATTAAGATCACGAGAAGACTGGAGGGTAGACATGGATGCGGGTTTTATACATCATTTCACTACAATGAAGCATATGATGGTGACGATCGGATTGAAACTCATGGCTGGACGAAGTAATGAGCATGGACCCCGTTAAGGCCAGAGCGACGATTTCTTAATAAATGCAGCTTTGCTATACTGAATTTTCAAAATTCGATTTTTTCCTAATTTCCTTTTTTAATCAATTTATTAAAAATCGTTATGTTTTGACGTTAGTGAGATCTTCCTTAGACGTTTAATATCCACATACAACCGTTAAAATGGCCATATAATTATATATAAAGTAAAATGCTTCTTCCGCATTTGTACCGCTACTGTAACATGCTTTTCATGTTGAAATTAGTACTCATTTATCGTTATTATATTAGGAATATAAATTTCTAGACACTTTAATAGAATTCCTTTTATGGTCATTTTATTGAACAGTGGTTAATATAAAATACTGCAAAACTTTATTCTGAAACATTATAAAAGATATTAATAGATCGTTTAGTGCTTCAGCGGAGTAATCTATCTTACCTGTGCTATATCCGGCTTGGCCCAATGTTACAGAATTCCATTGATACAGCCTTTGCGTCATCTATCTCGAAACTACTTCACAGATATTGATAAAATTTTTATCTTGATAAAGTTGTATTACAAAAAAAGTTTGAGTTGTTTTGTTTCGACAGTCGAAATTTATTGGAAAAACATAAGTTTAAAGTGCGAGGAGAAAAAAAGTGCGACTGTGACGGAAATTTGTTCCTTTTCTGCTTCAAACGCCTGTGTTATTTGCCATGTGAAGGGTCTTCTTTAACTTTTCGATAAAAGTAGTTTCACATATCAATAGATTAGATCTAATGCTATACTTTGTTGATCATCGTTCTCATTTTCCACTTATTTCGACAAATTTTTGATATTGTTGACAATTTCATCTCGTGAAATACAATCAAGCACATTTAACAAAAAGTTTTTGTAATCGTAGAAATTTGTCTTTTAGTTTTAATTCTAAATTACTGGCAATCAAACAAGCAAGGGCCGAAGCAGACCAACTTTGTTTTGTTTGTGTTTCTTATTTTTTTCTTTTCTTTTCTTACAAAAACGTTACACAGCTTCACAACAACGTAAGAAAATAGTCTCGGAAAGTTTGGATACCGGCACTTTCATATCGAGACTAAAGTTTCGGGTATCGAGTACCTCGTCTCGATGCATCCCTATTTCGAGCACCATATATCGATACAGTATCACAAGGCGATCATAATAAATGTTACTGTCAATTGTTAAAAGTAAGGTGGAGAAGAAAACGTTGAAGTAAATCGAGCATAGCACGTGGTTGATCACTGGGTACCCGACCATTAAATGTCCTATTGCCGACATGTATTTGTTTTCGTCGATATGCCTGTGTGATAAATGGAACGAAATCGAAGATGCCCGATGGATCGCTAGTTAATAATATGTTCGAAGAAGATTTCAGACCGGTTACTTGTGCAAAATAGGTTGTTATATTAATTAAATCGCCATCAATCAGAGCATCAGATATGTAGAATGCGTCTAAAAATCGATTTTGACTGATAGCATAGCGGAGAAGGCTCGATTGAAGATTAAAATAGAACAATTGTTGGTCATCAATCAAACCGATCTAAATAGATCGATCGAATGATAAGAAGGGTAAAAAACAAGAAGCAAGAAAAATGCCTGATAGAGCAATGGTCCGTATTCGTACTGTCGATAAGGATCTATCCAACCGTTGCCAATGACAATACCTTTAAGACTGATTAGTGTTTGAACGTCGGGATTTTGATTTTCAACATGAATCTTGTATGCAATCGAGGGTACATATTTGCCAGCGTAACTTTGACCAGTCACATAAAATGGATTCAGAGCATAGTCGGTATAGATTCGAAAGAATTGGGCTAATGCTGAATAGAGATCACGCACAATGTCGTCTTGTGATCGAGCATCGCCTTGTTCGTTTGAAGTAAAACTATAGCCCGTACCGACAGGATTGTCAGTGTATAAGACATGGTTAACCGAATTTCAAGTGATAGCTCGTTCAGCCAATATTCTGTTATAATCTACTTGAATCGGACCATTTTCGTTAGAGAGGCCATATAGCGAAGTACCACCTGGGCCGCCTTGAAGCCAAAGTATCACAGGAGCACTAACGTTACCATTTTGAGCAGGAAAAAACCAGAAAAATATGTTCGAATTGCAGTCCTTGTCAACAGTTAAATAGCCCGAAAATGACGATCGATTGAATGGAAGTAAATACACTGAGCTATTCGAATGAGTTGAAAATTAGATATGGACACTTAGAGGAACAAATAGCTCATCTAAGATTTCTTGCCTTTTCAAGATACGGTGTAAGAAAGAGCGAATCACCCACATCATCTTTAGGATCTATTGGAGTCACCGGTCAAGTCGAAACCATGTGCCGAGGAGATAGTCCATGGATAGACACCATGAGCAAGTATAGCAGTACAACAGTTAAACGTCCGCACATCATCTGAAAGTATGATTAGAGTTTTACGTAATGAAAATATTCCCGATTTCATTTGAAAATCTCAACATACCTCAGGTAGTCCTTCGTTGACCTTTTTCCACTTTCAATACATCTTCGAACACTGAGCGAATTCACCATCTTAAATAGTCGCGATTGTTCTACGGATAAATAAAATGTGTGCGAAATAGATAGTTAGCGACCCGTAAATTTGATAGTTACTCGGGACAGGACAATATCACCTTGGTGGAGGAAGGTAGGAAGGTGTTTTGGTAAGGTAAAGAGAAAATCGATCGACCATGAAAGACAACAGGGGAGAAATTCATGGCAAAGATAAGAACAAAAAGGAAGCACTGGCCTGAAGCGCAAGCTGAAGAACGAGAAAGAGGTGCAGATCGCAACATTATCTAAATGAATACTAAAACACCAAATGAAAACTTTGCACATCACAGTATCATAAAAATCAGCGTCAAACACGGGCGGCCGAATGTTGTTCAAGGTATGGAGGACTCCAATCAACACGAGAAAACGTGTGACGTTATTATTGGGTCCTGCTGCTCCACGTCGCTCCGTCTCGGCAAATCAAGAAAACAAAAGCGGAACAAATAGTCAATGTTAGTGCACGACTTGATTGCAACCAATCATAGACCATATATAAGATGTCCAACCAATTGGTGGAACAGTCAAACTGGTTGGTCATCTTATATATGCTCTATGATTGGTTGCAATCAAGTCGTGCACTAACACTCACTATTTGTTTCACTTTTTTTTCTCTTTCTATTCGACATCTTCTCACACACAGAGATAAGAGAAAACGAAAATGACAAAAACGAGTACAAAATAATCAGCCAGAGAATCTAAATCTGAAAATAACGCGATTGAAAACACCAAAGCCGATAGAAACTCATTTACCACATGATCATAAGCGAGAAAGAGAAAGAAGCAGGATATTAGAAAGAAAAATGCATTCACGTGACTCATAATATGATAAGATCGTGTTATTGCTATGTGTTAAAAATTGATTGCATACTGTTTGTTTTATTCTCTTCAATATCTAACACTTCTTAACTTTCTCTCTTTCTCGATTAATGTCAAATACTAGTCTGACCGAAAGGCTAGAAATTGTTCTGCGGTTCGGTTGGCAGAACCACTTACGTCTATTGGTAGTTGGCCCTGACAGCAACTGGGCGCATATGTGGGAAAACTGGTGGCGTCAGAAAATTGACGATTTAACCACTGATAAGTTTGACGATAGGAGCCGTGCCTGAAACACGTGAGTTCTACACTATCCGTTTCTTCTTTTTGTTTCTAGCCGTGGGCATAGCTGGGAGCAGTATTGTTGGTGGGGATGAGCTGGAGGAGGGGAATTTGGTTGTCTTTGTTCCACTTGACGACGTGATTATGAGTAAATTACAGGATTATGACGGCGTGCATTATTATTTTTAAAAGATGTATGTTTTTTTCTCCTTTGTTTTTGTTTTGTTGCTGTTAGTTATTTTTACTGTTATTTGATACATGTATTCCTCTCTGTTTTATATTACATTATATTTGTACTATACTAACTGAACATGTAGTTTGTAATGGAAATAATTCCACCAATTTTGTGAAGTAGTCTACGACTACTAAAACCTATTCATTATCTCTTTCTGTTCGCGGTAATGGACCAGTGATATATCGATAGTAGACGATAGAGTCTACCGCTGATTAATTTATAAGACTTCGCGATTCCACGCATTTTCCGTCAAACATTTTCATCTGATGGAAATATTCCATCCTACAAATAACTAATTAGAGAAGTCGAGTAATTAGAAAATCAGGAAAGGCTAGAGGAAATCGAGAAACACTTGATAGATGATCAGAAAGGGGAGACGGATTTTCTCTAATCATTTTTCGATCTAGAGAAAATCAGGAAAGACGGAATTGGTCTAATGAAAATGTGAAAGTCATAGCCAGGAGTAAAGATTGTGTAATTTGCTAAAGAAGACGTGATCTTTATAAGGAAAGTTCTGTTTTGTATATTTACTATTTCACTTGCATGAGTTTCGTTTATGTCTTGCTTCTCGGGATTACACATGAATAAAGTAAAAGGATACTGCTGATATATTGCTAATTGCGGAAAAATATGATGGATGATCAACTTTTGTAGAAAGAATCTACTATCTCATGAATGACATTATTGTTTCTAACAGAGTGTGACTAGATATCAATACTTATAGGCTAGAAAATAAATGATTTTTAATACAAGCCTAAGTTTGGAAACTCAAATTCAGGGATTTTTCGCTTCCACCGCACTGAATTTGCGTGGTCGCTAAGTAGGCGCCATTTCCAAAAAACTAACCTTATTAGTGGTGTTTTTCAGTCCAACGAGGTTCTGGTTGTTCTTTCAGCCAGTCAATGAAATTTCATTTTTTTTGGGATAGACCATTAGGAAGGGCTAGTTTCTTATGAATTAAATTTGAGAAGGAAGCACAGTTTCAGATTGTAGCGAATGGATCAAATGATGACGTTAAAGACACAAGGTAACGCTCGTCTCCATTCTCTCCGTAGCAACTTATATGTGCGCACACTGTAATATAAAACTAAAGAGTTTTCTGGACACGGTCTGAAAATCCGAAGGGAGACTGCAAATATTTCTGCAACCCCAATACGACAGAAGATCTGAGAGACTAACTCAACACTTACGACAAGTCTCCATCCGATTTGCTCGCACTGAGATAGTGCTGTAATCATTTTTAGTTCGAACAGCTCGAGATTGAAATACTCTGCCTGAATTGGTGGTCTCATCTCCTTCTATTAGAAGTTTCAAGATAAGGTTAAAACAATATCTGCACATATAAAATAAAACAAGAACAATAACTAGGAGACGGAAAAAGCATCTAACATAAGGTGGCAGAGTTTACAGGTGATCATCACTTTTTCTGCTTTCCCAGCAACAAGATTTGGTCATAGTCTACTGTTGTTTGTACGCTTAAGAAAAAAAAAAGGAAAAAGGAAGTAAGAAAAAGTTATTTTTTGTTTTTTTTTCTTTACTTATTGTGTACTAACATTTGCCGTCACTAAAACAAAATCCACCAATCAATCATGATGTCATCGTATTTTTATAATAATTTCCATTTTAAAATCACTTTTCTAGAAAATATAATACGATTAATCTTATACTCAACTTTCTGTACTGAGTAAACAAAACTCGGTGTGAGTCAGTTTTTTTTGAAAAATTTTAGTTGCACTCGATAAGAATAAAAACATTATTGTTGATAAGAGCGGGCTTGTAAATAAAAATAAAACAAAAAGACGGTATTATGAATCTAATTTAAGATACAAACAATATGAACGGGCGAGATATTTTTTTGAAATTTGCAACAAATTTCTTTTTAGCAATAGGAATAGTTTGCGTTCTTAATATCGTAATAGGATTTATTATCGGTCTCGTTTTCAACAATCAATGTCCTATAGAACGTTATGTGTTTGTTTATTTAATTGTTATGGGTGCTACAGCGATATATGCCACATTTCAAGGTGCGTTCTTGTCTCTCACACATACGTACATGATTAAACAAGATAGTAAGTTCTCTCGATGGTTTCCTGCACCGGTACAATTTATTTTTATTGTATTAAGCATGTTCTTAAGCCTATTTATTTTTATTTGGTTTATTGTCGGTAGTGTGTGGATTTTTCGAATATTTAAAATTGTTCAATATGACGCAGCACAACCGTCTACTTATTGTCATCCTACATTATATGTTTATGCATTTGTACATTTAATTATTCATTATTTTTGCTTGATAATAGGTGGGACAATAAAATTTATTCATATGGTTGTTCAGGATACATCTAAACCGGGAGAGATTTGAACAGGGAAAGATATAATTTTTTATTGAGCAAGTGCTCTTGATGTAGTTTTTCTGTCTAGGTGAGAGATTTTCTTTCTTATAATTACAATTATCCTCGATTTCTGTGTCTTTTTTCTAATGTACTTTGAAAAAGCTTCGTAAAAACTGAAGTGAGAATCACCAAAGTTTCTAATTTTGTATCTCCACATGATAATTTCTTTTTATCTAAATATATCAACAAAAAACGTACATTTTCTTTTAACGTCTTTCCTGATCCACTACACTTCCATATAACAGGTAGAGGCGCTGGCAAAAAAATGACGGAGAAATACTTCATTGAAATCTGATCGCCATGCACCACAACAATTCACGTCATCACAATCCACTAACTTTTAGTAATAAGTAGACTCCTTTGACATCCTGTCTCCTTTTGATGCCAAAACATCGCTTTACAAGTCTATGCTGTTCAACGCACCTTTTATTGGAGAAGACGGCTGCTCAGTCAAATTTGCCTTTTGTCTATGTTCTCTGCAATGCTCATTTTCTTCTCTTCTCATGACGTGTAAGGCAAACAAAATTCTGGATATATACTGCAGGTCAATGATCAATGTGAACGCATTTTGTTCTTGTTTAATCGAAAGAGTTAAAAGAAACGTCAGGTTAAGGTACGAACACGTTTTGTTTTTATTTGTATAACCGT